CTTGATAGCAATACTTCAAACTTTCCAATGATACAAGAGCATTTCTCTTGTAACTAACTTAGAAGATTGACAGAATTATGTAGAATAAATATATAGCTTTCGATTGATTATAAAGTTATTGGTACATAAAAGTAGGCGTATATAAAAAGTCTTCTCAAATGATGAAGTGGTGGGTGGAGCCAATATGGTGGGTTCATTAAATATCATGATATCTCAGCAATAATAAAGGTAAGAGGTTCTTATTTTACATTTTAGCTTGCTAATATCTAACATTTGAGTTTCTAATTTGTACAAAACTATAGACTGTATTGTGGGCATCATAAAATGTAATCTGACCAAATCTAGAAGGTCGCATACCAGGTGACACACAAAAATCGATATTTAGCCTTTTTTTTATAATTAGTTTGAAATTAAGAAATTAACTAATGTATAATACTAAAATTTTAATTATAATCTACAATTTGATACCAAACTTATTGACATATGTTTATAAAATAATAGCTAAATAAAATGTTGAGTAAATCTACAAATGTGATGACATACCCTCTAACTCCTACCCGTCACGATAGGGTTAACTAATATCCTTTGTAGAGCTAGGCAAGTAGTGGAATTTGCTAATCAATTACTCACCAATTATAATCACATTCAACTAATCAATTATCCTTACAAGACCTGGATAGTTGGAATAATCAAAAATAGTAATAACCAGAAACATTTATTTCATTTAGATAATTATTTTTTGAGAGTTGTAACACTAACTGATCAAGCTGAATAACCTTGAATTAATTCAAAATAATAAGAAATTACATTGACAAAATTTTTATTATTTGAAGAGTTGAAATAATCAAAAACAGTAATAAGTTTAATCATAATTTTGATTAATCGATTATTTTATGTAACACTAATCAATGTAACCGATGTTGATAGGTAATAGAGTATATTAATTAATCAAGTTAATCACATATCTCCAATTCCATGTGGTACTTTATTAAAAACTTTAGAAAACAAAGAACATGATTTTCATCAACCATATAACAAACTACATACTAAAAAAAATTAATTGATTAGTAAGACAAAATTTCTCTTTACTAAGCCATGCTGGATCTTTTTTATACCGTATTTCTTTACATACATTTGCAAAGCTACTTTTATCACTTTCCATAGTCTTTCTCACTATCATACCAATAAGCAAACTATTCCACAGGTCAACTACCGCATTAGGAAACTAACACTACCAATTGGAGATGTAATTGAAATTTCTACCTCTTAAACTTGTATACCCTAGTCTTATTGGCTACTAATTTCTGAAAAACTATATAGTGTGGTGAAATATCGGTACATATTATTCTTTGCTTTCATTCATGAGGTTCTAGGAATTACTAATGTAGTTTTCTCCCATTCATGCTGTGGTTGCATGACATGCTCCAAGATCAAGACTAGATTACCGATTATCCAGTTCTTCTGAATAATAAAAAAAAGTTAATTCTAATAAAAATGATAATAATAAGAGAAGAATTGATGTTAAAAATTAAATAAACAATACTGTTATTAATCATTACCCTAATTCTGATTTATAAATAAGTTAAATAAAAGTGGTAATTTCAATTCATTTAATCTAGTTCACACCATAACAGTTGTTGTTTATGCAACTAATGATATGAATAGTGTCTGTCTTATCCTAGCTGGCCTGATAAGCCTTAATATTGGTCAAAAGGACTTGTCAGTAATGGATGTGGCACTTGTAATGTGGTTGGCCTAGTATTATATATTCTTCTTTGCTTTCATTCATAAGTTCTAGGAATCATTTGACTTTATGAACCTCAAACATTCAACAATGCTAAAAACCTTGAACATATCAGAGATCTTTACATGTCAAAAGATTTTAACTTATCCTCATACAACAACCCCTCAAACGTGGAATTATCCAACAGGAATCATCTGATTGCTCTGCATTAACATTTTCCAGTCTTGGAATAAATTTTGTAATGCTAGATATTTTACCTTCATCCGACATTTCCACTTTATTCCTATAGGTTAATCACACCAATGTAACAAGTCAGACTTCGATGTTCCTTTTCATCCTTGTATCAGTACTACCACTAATCAAAGTTCACACATGAAAAATTTGGACATTCTATTTAAAATGCAAACATTAAACTTCGAAAAAGAAATTGCTGTTTCAGTATCATTACTTTGATACATATAAGTACCATATTATTAGTCCTACTAGTAATAGTAGTAGAGATAAATTAGTAAATATCATCAATATCACTATCAGGCAAAACACACTCAACAATAGTTACTCTTGAAATCATTGTACAATGCTTCATAGGTTATAACAAATGTTTTATAAATTGCATTTTTCTCTACTCAGTACTCATAACACTAACAGTTAAAACTATAAGTTATAACTAGTAATAGTATAACTTATAAATATAACGATCCCATTGGACTAGAAATTATTAACTTTGATGTACAAAATATAAGCATTCAGTCTTCTCGAATCAACATATTTAATCTCTTCTTATTAATTTCATTCTCAGCATCGTGTAATTCGTGCGAGTGCAGTTTAAATGGTAGTTTAATGCATGTTGTAATATTACTATTAATTACTACTAGTAGTACTATCGTAGAGATTTCACGTGTTTATTCCAATGCCAACTACCATTACTTAGGCCTACTAAGTACCGTTACTTTTGTCTCAAGGCGTTAAACTAAAACTGCAATAACTTTAGATTAAAACATCGTAACACTCTTTTATTTTCTAATTTGTATACAAATACTTTAAATCTCACCTGTCTTGCTGTGTCAGATGCCATGATTTCAAAGGCTTAAAGGGCAATTTAAAAGTTAAATAGGATAGAAACGATGAATTAACGTCGAACACGAAATTCTCTAACCCCATATACCTCAACTAAATAAGAAAGAAGTCAAGATGTTATCTGGCACCAAATTTTGTAGTATTTATTACATTATAAATATATATATATATATATTATTTTCATTTTCCTAGATTAAATTAAAATAAAATATATACATAACTGGGCAATGTTCAACTAAAAGCGGAAATGTTTTATATATTACCACTTTATTTTAATATTGTAGAAAAATCTGAAGTTTTGAAACAGCTATTTGAGGGATAATAGATTCATTTTTGTACAACGTTTTGTTTCTGACAGTAAGATATAATCACGTTCAGAAATAAATATATTATCCCACAAGTAGATGTTTCAAAATTACATATTGTTCGCTAATTAAGTGGGTACCCTTAAAAAGAAAGCGTGTAGAAAGATTATGTATTTTCTTGTTCAGTTGTACAAACGAGAAAATACCGTTTAATTGATAATTATGAAATGATTTCCTTTCTGCTCTTTCATATATTAGTAACATTTCAAAATGATGTTTAAATTTCACTAAGCTGTTTTAATGTTGTATCTCTATTTATTTATTATCTTTCAATACCCTATTATACTGCATAATTCAGAGAACAAAGATTGTTTGTTTGTTTTGAATTTTGCGCAAAGCTACACGAGGACTATCTGCGCTAGCCATCCCTAATTTAGCAGAGTAAGACTAGAGGGAAGGCAACTAGTCATCACCACCCACCACCAACTCTTGGTCTACTTTTTTACCAACGAATAGTGGGATTGACCGTCACATTATAACGCCCCCACGGCTGAAAAGGTGAGCATTTTTGGTGAGATGGGATTCGAACCCGCGGCCTGCAGGTTGCGAGTCGAGCTACTTAACCACCTGCCCATGCCGGGCCAAACAAACTGGTAATTACTTCACTTTAAACCTTTCTTTATTTCCAGTTTTTTTATTATTTGTTTTGAAGATATTGCATGTCTCTCATGAAACAATATGTAAACATTGAAAGAATATGGTAAACACCATAAAGAAGGTGTTTGGGTGCCTCACGAACTCTCCAATGATCATCGTTTCCAACGTGTAAACGTTGCCTCGTCTCTTCTGGCACGTAACGTGCATGAACCATTTTTCGAAAGAATTGTCACCGGTGATAAGAAATGGATTCTCTGTGCGAATATTAAACGCCAAAAACAATAGCTTAGTCCTAGACAAAAACCAATTCCGACCCAAAAACCTGGACTCTATCTGCAGAAAGTGATACTTTGCATTTTGTGGGACATCAAAGGAGTAATTAATTTCGAACTCCTCAATCCACAGCAAACTGTCAATGCAGAGATCTATAGTCAGCAACTTGAACGTTTAAATCAAGACCTTCTTCAGAAACGCCTTTCACTCGTCAATCGGAAAGGTATTCTTCTTCTCCACAACAATGCACGTCCACATGTGGCACGTTTGACACTACAGAAGATTACGGAGTTGGGTTGGGAAGTTCTCCCCACCCACAGTATTCTCCAGATATGGCACCATCAGATTACCATCTTTTTTGTTCACTGCAACATCATCTTAATGGGAAAACGTATGCAAATGTGGAAGGTGTTAAAGAGTACATCAACATGTTTTTGCTTCAAACCAAGTGATTTCTTTAACCAGGGCATTAACAACGTGATTTTAAGATGGAAAAGCATCATCGATAAGAATGGAGACTATTTCATTTACTAAATGTTTTGTTTTGATATATAAGTTGTTCTGTTTTTTCATCTAAAAAACAGCGACATTAATTTCTTGACGACCTAATATAAGGAAATACATCATTAACTTATGTTTGATACAATTATTGTTACAGTATAGATTCTGAATGACCAACTCATTCACCCCACTGCGATGTTAAGAAAAACAGTGTTCATTGATATGGTAACCAAAACTTTAATGCCATTGATAAATCAAACATTCATACTGAATGTTATTAAAAAAACTGTAGTCATTATTAGATAGCTAAGAAAGTGTCACTGTTACACAAAAAGTCGATTCTGCTATTGTTGAGAGAGATTATATTCACTGACTTGGCAACTAAGAATATATTGTTGGTACACAGGGAAGTTCCTACTGATGTTATTGATTATTCTTGACTTGATTGTACCTCACAGAATTTCATTCATTTATCAAAACCTTGGTAACAATATTCACTGACTTGGCAACTAAGAATATATTGTTGGTACACAGGGAAGTTCCTACTGATGTTATTGATTATTCTTGACTTGATTGTACCTCACAGAATTTCATTCATTTATCAAAACCTTG